GAGCTGCTAACGCACCAGTTTGACTTCACCCCTGGAGGCACACTCCATTGTCTATTGAGACAGATAGAAACCAATCCCAAATGCTCAGATGATGATAAAAAATGTGACTTCCCACAATGATTTATATGCATAAGCATACTATACCATTCACAGAAGACTGTCATATGGAAGAGATACTATCGCCCTGTTCTCTCTTTTGTTGTTATTGCTGGTAAAAACATTGTGTATATAGGTATTAGGGGAACTCTACTCCAAGAAGATGGGAGTAAGATCAATTCAAAGCTTTTAATTCAGCTATAGGTAAAGGGACCCCTGACCATTAGGTCCAGTCGTGACCGACTCTGGGGTTGCGGCGCTCATCTCGCTTTATCGGCCGGGGTAGCCGGCGTACAGCTTCTGGGTCATGTGGCCAGCATGACTAAGCCGCTTCTGGCGAACCAGAGCAGTGCACGGAAACGCCGTTTACCTTCCCGCTGGAGCGGTACCTATTTATCTACTTGCACTTTGACATGCTTTCGAACTGCTAGGTTGGTAGGAGCAGGGACCGAGCAACGGGAGCTCACCCCACCACGGGGATTTGAACTGCTGACCTTCTGATCGGCAAGTCCTAGGCTCTGTGGTTTAACCCACAGCGCCACCTGTGTCCCTAAATTCAGCTATATCTAGTATCTATTCTGGGAAATTGTTCATTGGTCCACTGTGCACTTGGACACCTCTTAAGATATCATAATCATTTTTTTACGTGATGGTTCCTGAGATCAAGGAGCAGAGTTTTTACCTGTTTGGATACAACTGGATTCCATGTTGAATCAAGATGGTGGACTGAACGCTTTCAAAATTGTACTGATTTTTCTTTTTTTCTTAGGACTTCCAAGCAATGCCAGACACAAGCCTGCTAGTAATTAATGTTTTAGAAAGGTCCTAAAATCTATAACGCTGTGTGCGCAAAAGCCTCTGTTCACGCGATGTATTAACACGTACGCAACTTGCTTTTATGTGTGTGCATTATTCCACCTTCACCTGGGACTTCTTCATCAATGCGAGAGAGGGTGTGGTGAAGAGAGGCTGAAAAAGGAGTCATAAAGCTTTCCATGGAGAAGCTGTGGCTTTTCACTACGGAAACAAACCCACACCTCTTCCCTCCTAAGAGCTGCAAAGAACAAACAAGCAAAAAACCCAACCGACTGCAAAGCTGGTTATACAGGCTTAAATACCTTTGTTGCTGCTGCAGCTAGACAGCCCTCTACTTCCCTTTCCCTCCATTTGCCTGATTAGAAATATCTTTGCCACAACATGCAAATAATCAGTATTGCCTGTTTCAAAAGGTTACGTGTCACTCAGGTCCTCTAAGTCTAAGCATGCATGCAAGGCCTATGGAGATGAGGAGGACTGGCTTTGCATCAACATGTTTACTCTTGCATTTTTAAACCTACAGATTGCTGCTGCAGTCTAAGGCCAGTCTTCAAGAAGGCAGGCAACTGTTTGCCTTGCTTTTAGTCAAAGATTGGGAAGTGCACCCAAAGATCTTACAGATCGTCTATTAGGCAAATCTTATTCCAAGTACCGGCACTAGCTACCCCAAATGAGATTCATTTACAGATGCTGCAATATGCGAACAGCAAATGAAAGTGAGCAGCCGAGAATGTTTGTGTGAGCAAGCATTGCATTGTCTCCTCATGACAAGGTAGTATAAGTGCAAGTAGATTTCTTTATAGAATTTGTAATAAATTTACCCACGTTATGACTCACCAAAATATTTGCATGATGCCAGAATTCATCCTATGGTTGAAAACGCAGGAAATTTTTCTAGAGCAGGGATGGAGCCACAATTAGGGAGCCACTAAAAAAGTCAATTTTGTTATTTTGTTTCTTAAGAAGGGTGTTTGTGAAGGGCGATGGATTGCTAAGATATTTTTGCATGTGTGTACAAACTGACTGCCTTGCGAGAAGGAAATTTCTCTCCAGTGAGCCATCAATGTGACTCTTAGCACCTCCATCTGTCTGCTTAATTTCTCTATGCTCTTATTTCTCTGTATCCCAAACTGTGCATTGCAGTGTATTACCATTATTGGGTTTGGACTGTACACAGAACAATTTAAGTCTGAACCTTTTTCTGTCTCTCCCTCCTCCATCCCTGCTCTAACAAATGATCCGTGTTGTCAATTCTGCTGTGTCAGCTTCCTGATCAGCAGGAAGATAGAAAACTCATATGGGTAAATTGTGTAACCATTCAAGAAGACAGTTTTACCTTAAAAAAAAAAAAAGCTTAGTTGCAGGGAGTTTTAATTTCTTTGAAGCAATGTAAACAATACTTTTTAATCCACTTGTCATCACTTCATTGAAACTTGTTGAGGACTAATGGCTTGCTGCCAAGAAGAAAAAGAAAAAGCTTACATAAGGCAAATACAATGCAATTGTTACTTTGTAGGTAGTAACTATTTTGGGGCACCATTGCAAAGCTGCTCTGTGAACATGAAACTGCATTTTCCTAGACATTTGACTACATTTAACATTATACAGTCGTACCTTGGTTGATGAACGCCTTGCGACTTGAACGTTTTGGCTCCCAAGCACCGCAAACCCGGAAGTGAGTGATCCAATTCACAAACGTTCTTTGGAACCCAGACATCCAATGCGGCTTCCTGCAGCCAATAGGAAGCCATGCCTTGGTTTCCAAACATTTTGGAAGTCGAACGGATTCCGTTCCAACTTCCGAGGTACCACTGTAGTCTTAAAATATGGAGATATCTTAAGTGTTATGACCCATCCTAGGACTACCAATGAACAGCTGAATGAAAGACCCAAGGGCTGCCAGCTTAAAGCTCAAGGACAGAAGCATTTGACCCACTTTGTAAATTACAGAAGCCAAAGCCTGTTCCTGCACTAAAACACATTTCCCCACCTTCTGCAAACATTTTTAATCGATTGCAAATCATGTCCCCCTGTTTATCTTCAATGCTTTAAACGTAGCCGCTCAACTCACTATTTTAACAAGCGCTTAGGAGTGGCAATTTAGAAAGCAGGTGCGCTACCATAACCTCATAGCACATTTAAGTAGGGCATCAGGTACGAGTCATCATTATTTCTTCAAATAGCAAACTTGCTGGCCGCACTGCAGTGAATGGAGCTACCTTAGTATTATTGTTTATATACTCCAGCTTTATTCTCCAAGGAGCGTAAAGTAGCACAAATAGTTCCCCCCCCCGCCTCATATAATCCCCACAAAACAACCCTGTGAGGTAGGTCAGGCTGACTGCCAACCTGAAAGTACAGAACAATAATTAAATTGTTTTATTTAACATACAGAAAGGGGCGCCATTCTTTCACCCTAGTTTTCAAGTAATGAAATATATAGTTCTTCCATCTCCTCGCCCTGCCACAAGTAGAAAGGAAAGCTGCATGATGCCTCTAGTTGGTAGAGTTATTCATCGGGAATTGCATGCATTTTTTGCATCTCTTCATTATTCCACCTTTTATCTACATAGCCCTGTTCTATGACTCATCACTTCCTTTTGATGACTCATCACTTTCTGTTGATTCTTATCTTAGGACATGGGTTGCTGAACAGGTATAAAATTGTGCGTGTATATGTGTATGCACATACAGGTATATATGTATAGAATACAACTTCAAGCAGAGAGGCAGAGGATGCAATGGGAGGTGCTAAACCCTTTCCCAGCCCTGTCACCACAACACCTTCCCGAAACTGAGCTCATTTCCAGTCTCCAAACCCAGACAGGGGGGAAAAAGCAACTGGCTGAGAAAAGTTCACTAGCCTCTCTAGTTTGCTCTTCTTCCACTTGAAATGACTACTCCCCACATTTTAGGTCTGTATGGTGCATTTTGTGCCTTAAGCCTAAACATCTATCCTGCATTTAACAAATGAGACAAATCAGTCCAATAATTACTTTTTTTCTTTAATATTTTTTTTTGGAATGGCGTGATAGCTATCTGACAACATTTGAAGTGTTTAAACAGCTTGTGCTACCATGAAATTTCCCCTTTTGTTATACAGCAACCAAACCATTATATGATATGCAGGAGAAGTTTGAAACCATAAACTGAATTATAGGCATACAAAGGGCTCCACTGTAAGCACACACCTTAGCAACCACACTGCTCACAAATACTTATATTCATCCAGTATGAAAACAGCTTTATCACGCAATATGCTACATTTCGTTTATCCTGTGGAATTGGACAGACGGGACTTCAATGTCAACAGACCTATCCTTACATGTAGGTTTGTTCACCTGACACTCCCCATTAAGAACCTCCCCACCCCACCCCCCAAAATTGTCAGTAAAACCTTCTCTTTAGAAAGAGCTCCCTTCAAAATGGTGCTGTATGGCATCTCATGTTATAGACCAGCAATTTAACACACAGATACGCTGCACACTGTATAACCATGATGGAGCCTTTTATGGATATTTGTTCTTTATTATTTTTCTTAAAAGCATGGGTTTTTTAGCAGCAACTCTTGTTAAAAAACAAAAACAGAATCTTCAAAGTGTTTAGCAATACTGTATCCAAGATAGTGCCCCACTAAAAAAACAACACTCCGGTTTCAAGGAATGGTTCATAGGAATGAAAAAAAGCTATAGAGAAACAGACCAAAAAAAGCCAAGACTGAGGTGATAATACTATTTTCAATTCTGAAAAACTAATTCCTGCTTCAATGCATGATTGAATATATTTAGTTGGGAAAAGAAGTCTCTTTACAGTTTACATATGGAAACCACACCCAAGAATGGATTTAAAGGGGGAAGCCATATTAAAGCATCACGGATTTCCTCTTTAAAATGTGCACTATGCACTACAGTTGTACCTTGGTTTCTGAACAGCTAAGCTCTTGAATGTTTTGGCTCCCGAACGCCGCAAACCCGGAAGTGACTATTCTGGTTTGTGAACTATTTTTGGAAGCCGAACATCCGGCGGGACTTCTGATTGGCTGCAGGAGCTTCCTGCAGCCAATCAGAAGCCATGCTTTGGTTTCCGAATATTTTGGAAGTCGAACGGACTCCCAGAATGGATTCCGTTCGACTTCCAAGGTATGACTGTGCTCTCTCTAGCTGACTAATTTTGTTCTTTTTGAAGCTGAACTCAAAGCAGTGACCCCCTTCTCTTCAATGTTATTATTATAGACTACCTGAATGCCCATCACAGATTGGCGTCTGCCCAAATGGCAAACGTACCACTCCTCTTTTTGCAGCCACAGAACCACATTATTGCTGGGCAAAAGCTACCAAAACAAAACACAGAAAAGACTGAATTATGAAAATAGAGCAGTACTGGTATTCTCCTATTGCTTTACAATTTGGGGGTTGTGCGCAATTAGGTCATATTCAGAGCAGACCCATTAAAATCAGTAATTAGTAAAGTCCATTATTTCAGTGGACTATTAACTAGATGCAACCTTTTATGCAAGGTCTCCAAAATACTTGGCAAAAACCAATTATTTTTGTAAAACATAACCTTGAAAACCACCTGGAATCTTATATAAGAGATGTTTGTACTTAGGAGATGTTTATACATAAGAGGCTGTATTCACAAGTGAATATTCCAGTGAAGCAGCAATTGAGATCCACAATAATTTCCAAACTATTCACATTAAATAACTGGCGAAGCTATGAAGTAAACTGCATGCCAAATACCATGTGGTTACACCTAGATCATTCTTGATCCTAAAAAAGGCAGTTTTTCCCCAGAAACAGCTTCAGAAGTTTGTTTGAATGTTTTGAGATGTCCTGTATCTTTGTTTTTGTAATTTTGTTTTTGAATTTCAGAAACCAGTTTATGAAGTTCTTTTTTTAAAGTGTAATGGTACATCTTCCTAAAAAGTAGCAAAAGCAAAAGAGCTACATTTTATCAAACACTTCCACACACAAAAATTCTTCCTCTACTTTGTCCCCTTTACATACAGATCACCTTGAGTAGTATTTTTTGGCATGTCGCACACTTTGGAAAAGTGACAATTTTGGAGGGCTTCATTATAGTGGTTTTTCAGGTCGGTGTACAAAGCAACTGTTTCTCCCGTGTGTGGAAATTGCAGCAGCTTCTCGTTGAGCAATACCTGGATCTTGTACTCTTCCTTTGGAGTTGTGGCTTGATCACAGTGATAAAGCACAAACAACAGGTTTGCGGCATAAGGGACAATGCGGCCGCTACGAAATTTCCGGTGCATCTGCCTGTGGTAGTTGTTAGCTTTAAGAGGCTCTTCGTCTTTGAAGTAGCCCATGAGAGCAAGGAGAGGTTGAAGGGTTTCTGCATGTCCAAACTGGAGGATCACGGGAGAGGAAATAGGCTTCGAACTAGAAAGTTTAAAAGCCAAGCAAAAGATGGTTAGTCAGATGAATCTAAGGGTGGATCTACACATTCGGGGAAAAAACCATGCTATAAATAAGTCAGAAATTAAATCGTTATAACAAAAGAAAAAGAAATGCTATGGAAAATCACATAATATTTTTTTTTACTCTCCAGCACCACCTGGTGTTGCATTTTTATAACGCATTCAAAACGCTGTTTTTTGACTAATGTAGCTGAGTCCCAAGCAGTGTGGCACAACTACTGTATAGTTACAAGAATTAGCAAACTATGCTACTGTAAAAGAGTTGTTTTACTTTTGGTGGTCTGAACCTTAGGAATGGCATTTGACTGCTAAAAAACACTTGGTCAAGATATAATAATAATAATAATAATAATAATAATAATAATAATAATAATATATTATTTTAAAGAAAAGAACTAGAAGATTACAGAGTTCAATCTCATTCCTGGTTAAGAGATGACCTGCAGTTACAGCTGAGATCATGTGGATATTGGGGTGCAGTGGAAAAGAGCAATTCTCTAAAGAGAATGAATGGCAAAGCAGAGAATGTGCAACTCGCAACTCATCTACAGATGATGCGCTCACTCTGTAATGATTTTTTTGGCACATGAATGGCGACTACTTCATTCATCCTATTGTCCAGGCAAAGTGTCACAGCTTATCTTAGATTAGTTTCTCTCCACTGCTACCCACCTGTTTAGAACGGCCATGTTATGGACCTTTCTCCCTGTACAACATACTAAAAATCCAACTGTTCCTCTCTGTCCTCGTGGCTACAACTCTGGTTCATGTAAGCCCTCTGGCCTCTTCCTCTTTCATATCTTAGTCCTCTCCCGTCTATCAAGAAACCAAAACTATTCTCATTTCTCACTGATCTGACCACATCATTTGTTTCCTTCCCTGACTTCCCATGATCTTCTATAGTCAATAGAAAGCCTGGCCTTCAAGACCTCTCTCTGCCCCTGCTCAACCTATATTTTGACTCCTATTTCTCATTTTATCTCTGCCCATGATCTCCACTCCTCAAACCTTGACAGTCAACTGACCAAATGCCTGTTTCGTTTCAGATTGTAAGTTCCTACAGCATCTATGTTGCTTATGTAACTCTAATGTACCGTGGTGATGGTACAATATAAAAAAGTAATGCAAAAGCAGCTGTCTAGTTTCTTCTCCCCAAAACTATTATCATCACTACTATTTATAGTTAATATATTTTTTAGAAAATTTAAAGGTCCGAGATCCCATGTTACTCATGATTCCATGTGCTCATGTTATAGTAAAGCAGAATGTCAACTCCAGTATTTTTATTCTTTGTATGCTTTGAAGTGAGGTGGTGTTTTTTCCTCAGTTTTATTGTTTTATCTTTTTGTAAACTGCTTTGAGGTGTGCCCCCCGCATCAAGCGGTGTATGCATTTTAAGAAATGAATAAGTATGTTTAGAGTTCCAGCTAAACCAAGCTTCTCAGTAATAAGCTTGATAAGATACTTATTACATTATGCTGTCCCTACCTTTAGAAGCTTGTAACATAATCTATATAAAGGAACATACAGGTGTAACTATAATTTGCATTAGGGGACACCATGCTTTACATATGTTGTGTTTTGTGAATGGAATAAACAAAGCCCAGTTCATAAATCCAGGTTTTCATCACAATTAAATGTAAAAACTTTCAAGTCTTAGAATCATTAGCAGCAGCTATGGCAAACATACGAAGGCCAAGCAACAAGCCAAAGCTAAAATACAGTTTTTAATCCAACAGAGAAAAGTTCTTGGTACTTTAAGTTAACCTGTAACATCAAAAAGGAAATAAAATGCAACTACTTGTTTGACCTGTCCCATTTAGAGAAGAATGCTTTGAAGTATCCTGTTTCTGAAGTTTAAAAATGACACTTTGACATAATAAAGTACTGCATAAGTTATGTTATATCCTCAGTTCTTTATAACTAGTCACAAGCTTTAAGGAAATAAGATGGATTACTCATTTCTCTAAGAATTCATATACATATTTTTGTGCTTATGGTGGGGTAGTACAGAAGAAATTCCCCACCATACTGTGATTTAGCAAGCCCAAGAAGTCAGACTAAAAACTGTTTTTACATAAGGAAATGAAGGTATACAATATCCCCTTTCCCACAATTACCGACCCAATGCAAGCAACAAATACCAAATTTCCTTCTTTCTTTATTTTATTTTATTAAGAAAACCAACACAAGTGAATTTAGTCTTTGGTCAGGATGAACATTTTAGCTGTTTGATGAGATGCCTCCTTTACCAAAGTCATTGCTTCCTTAGTCTTTTGCCATGTGGCTAGTGCTTCTTAGTACATGCTTCTTACACTCAGGTTTCTCTGATGCATAGCCTAAAGGTAAAGGGACTCCTGACCATTAGGTCGTCGTGGCCGACTCTGGGGTTGCGGCGCTCATTTCGCTTTATTGGCCGAGGGAGCTGGCGTACAGTTTCCAGGTCATGTGGCCAGCATGACTAAGCCGCTTCTGGCGAACCAGAGCAGCGCACGGAAACGCTGTTTACCTTCCCGCCGGAGTGGTACCTATTTATCACTTTGACGTGCTTTCGAACTGCTAAGTTGGCAGGTGATGCATAGCCTAATAAGGCGCATAAGAATAAGCTAGGTAACTCCAACATAAAACTCAAATAAATGAAGGCTGTACCAATGTGCTACCACACATTTTTGAACACTGATCAGAAATCAGTATCAAAATTCTGGGAGCAGAAATGTTTCTGCCAACATCTGACATCTGAAAGCACAAATTGCTTTCTGTTTAGTAAACTATCACAGCAAACAGATCTTTGTTCTTTTTCTTTAGGCAAAAGGTGATGTTTGGCATTTTCATCTGTTGGCTGCCAGCTTAGAAGCCTCACCCACAAATGAAGGCAGTGTCTGACTGGTTTAGAAAGAAGGCGTTTCTCTCAAGCATGAACTCAGGAGTTTAATGCCTAATGAGATAGTCTACTGTATCCAAAGTTCTCTTCTGACCTCTTCTGCGGGAGGCAGTGGAAGACAGGAGTGCCTGGCGTGCTCTGGTCCATGGGGTCACGAAGAGTCGGACACGACTAAACGATTAAACAACAACAACAACATCCAAAATTCTCTAGCTTGTGTTGTAAGAGTTTGGGAGTAACGTACAAACCCATTCAGTAAAGAGATATCAGAAAACAATCAAATCTGAATTTACATGCTGGCATTTTAAAGTTTTATTTCTGTTTCAAAGAATCGGAAGTGGGTATCCCAAAGTCAATTCAGCACACAGAATACCTTGCCACCAAGCTGTCAAGATGTGTTCAGAAACCCTAAAACCTATCCCTTGCTATTGGGTGAGCTGCTGCAAGTCACAATACATAACACAGGGCTGGATCAGCCTTGGTCAATCTGGCACTCTCCAGATCAGGTTTCCTCAAACTCGGCCCTCCATATGTTTTTGGCCTACAACTCCCATGATCCCTAGCTAGCAGGACCAGTGGTCAGGGATGATGGGAATTGTAGTCTCAAAACATCTGGAGGGCTGAGTTTGAAGAAGCCTGCTTCAGATGTTTTGGACTTCAAATACCACCAGTCCCAGTCTATACAGCAGAGATGGGTAACCTCCGGCCTACAAGTCTAGTCAGGCCCAGCATGGGTTCCAGTTTGGTCTATGAGACCATTTTCCCCAAGCCACACCAACCTGCCCGACACCTGATATTATCTGCGATGTTAAGTGTGGAGCAGGTAGAGACGTGTTTGCCAACAATTAGGAGCCTTAGAGAGCACTCTCTATTGTTCCTTGACAAAGCAAGGCTTGCTGTCAGTGCAAATCAGCAAGTCTGCAGGCATCGGAGTTCCCATTGGACCCCATCTACCTGTCACGATGGCCCATGAGAGGAGGTGGGAGCTTTCAATATGGCCCCAGGAAAAGATTCCCCACCCTCTAGAGCAGTGTTCTTCAACCTTGGATCCATCCAGTTAGCCAGTGGTCAGGGATGTTGTCGTGGTCCAACGTTACCTGGGAACCGAAGGTTGAGGAACACTGTTCTCGAAGATGGACAGATGGTATGACTCAGAAGAAGGAAGGTGTATATACCCATAACCAGAGTACATAATCTCAACTTCAATCGTTGTTAAGTTTTGCTTGTAAAGCAATACTACGCAGGAAGACAAAAAATAGGCAGAAATTGGCACCAAGCATATAAGGCAACGGTGACAGAACTCGGCACTCACAGCTCAACGCTGAATTCTCAAACCAACCCTAATGCTGCCCTCCCTACCACCTGTTGGCCCGATGACAACCAAACAGCTCTGATCTGTGTACTGTTCTCAGTAAGGAAGAGAATGTAATGCATTATCTCTATTCGAACATCAGCTGCCAGCTGATAGCGTCACAAAGGTCACTGGGTTTGCAGGTATAGTTGGACTAGATGAACCTTGGGATCCCTTCCAACTCTGCAGTTCCAAGATTCCAACTATGAGGACTGCCATTGCTCTTTCTAAGTTTTCTTCAATTTCTTTCTATAGCATGCAAGAGGACTAAAAACATGGCCGTGCCTTTGTAAAAATAAACAGAATCCACAACAGAAACGCAACCATTCACTTCAAAGGGCTTTGAAATGTTCAGTGTGCGTTGTTCAGAAGCTGAGGCTGTGGCTACAGTCCACCAAGTGGAGTCTTAACTTCCGGTAGGAATCAAATGAGAGAAGTTGTTCCTCAACCTCAGGATGGAGTTTTAAAAGTCACTGTGGTTGGGACAAGTCAATTTCTCCTCTAAACTGTTTAGAGCTCTTAAAAATCTTTACAAGGTTATATAATTAAACATTCCATAAAGCCATTCCAAACAAAGCTAATCCCTAAACACACAAAGATTAATACACAGAGGAGCATATCTCATATAGGGTCAATAATAAGGCTGTCTTCTGATGTCAAATAGTGATCCCTCCCAGTCACTGAAGAGAATCTTTCTTTCTTTCTTTCTTTCTTTCTTTCTTTCTTTCTTTCTTTCTTTCTTTCTTTCTTTCTTCTCTCTCTCTCTCTCTCTCTCTCACACACACACACACACACCTCCAGATTCAAATAAATCCTTGGTCATAAGGTATTAATGAATCACAATGCTGAATAACCCAATTGAACTTCTGAACGTTTAAAAGTTGTGTAGAAGAAGATTTAAGCACACGAAGTGTCTCTTATGCATGCATAGGATAGGCTGCACCTGCTCAAATTCCTCCCTCAGTTAAAAAGCACAGAGGCAGTGCTTTCCTTTGCATATGGTCACTCTATTAAGGCAGGGGTTAACCTTATAATAGGGGACGCGGGTGGCGCTGTGGGTTAAACCACAGAGCCTAGGACTTGCCAATCAGAAGATCGGCGGTTCAAATCCCTGCGACGGGGTGAGCTCCTGTTGCTCGGTCCCAGCTCCTGCCAACCTAGCAGTTCGAAAGCATGTCATATGCAAGTAGATAAATAGGGACCGCTCCAGCGGGAAGGTAAACGGTGTTTCCGTGTGCTGCTCCGGTTCGCCAGAAGCGGCTTAGTCATGCTGGCCACATGACCCGGAAGCTGTCTGCGGACAAACGCCAGCTCCCTCGGCCTATAGAGCGAGATGAGCGCGCAACTCCAGAGTCGGTCATGACCGGACCTAATGGTCAGGGCTCCCTTTACCTTTACCTAACCTTATAATAAACATATCATATACAAATTAAAATTCTTAAGGGGGGGGAAACAATTTATGAAGTGAGGAGGAAGAAATTATGAAGCAACTATGCATCTGCCTTGGATGCTTTGCTTGAGATTCCTGCATTGCAGGGGGCTAGACTAGATGACACTTGGGGTCCCTTCCAACTCTACAATTGTATGTTTCTATGTAGCTTAGTCCAGGCATAGGCAAACTCGGCCCTCCAGATGTTTTGGGACTACAACTCCCATCATCCCTGACCACTGGTCCTGTTAGCTAGGGATGATGGGAGTTTGCCTATGCCTGGCTTAGTCAAATGTCTGGTCATATATGTATGTATGTATGTATGTATGTATATGTGTATGTGTGTGTGTGTGTGTGTGTATATATATATATATATGAATGATACTGAATGGAATTGTGGAATAGGACATATCTAGAGATGGGCACTTCTCAAAATGTTACCTTCGCATGGAAGAAAATTAAGTTCTACCCCAAATTATAATAGAGTTTAAAGACTTCCAATGATTTCACAGTGTTTTTTAAACATTAATTCATGTTGTGGGAAAGAACTGTTTGCCTCTTGGTACAAGTAACACTGATTAAATACTCTACTATTCCATACTAAGTACATTTTAATAGAAAAATGATAAAAAAGTGGCTTGTTATTTTGAACGAGGTATGAGAATGCTTATCTTACATTAGCTCTGCATACGTTATCTCATCTAGCTGCAGCTTTAATTGGGGATTAGTGGCTGGAAGTTAAACTTATCTACTCGATTCTAGGTGTCACATACGGCAAGTCACTTTGTCTCCCCGTGTCTCAACTCACCCTCCATAGAAGGCAACAGCTGCCCTCTGCTACCTTGTCAGGATAAACAATGATCAGTATTCAGAAAAAGCTGGTAGGTGAAAGAGGCAATTAGGTACTTTAGTTTACTAAGCTTAGTTAAGAGAAACCTATTCAAAATTTAGATTAGCATCTTCTGTTTATACTGCCATCAACTGTTAGGAAAAGGAACAGCACCGTTTCACAGAGCTCCTAATTATATCAAATATAGACACGATGCAGGGAATTCATAACTGGGATCTCCTGCAGCTTTTTGTTGTTTAACAATCAGCTGCCTACAGACTGCCAGTATTTTTCAGGAGGGATTCAATAGCTTATGGGTATTAATTAATTTTTAATGGATATTAATTTTTTTTAATTAAAAATGACTTATTGCAGTAAGGAAAGTGACAGGGAAGGGCCCTAAAGACTGGAATAATGTTTGATGGGAAGTCATATAGCCTTTCTGCAAACGAATCAAAACAAATGCTCACTAAAGAACGGGCACCATATGTTCTCCACTCATGTTAGAATATAAAAAGTTATGGTCGTGTGTTTGATATCCAGGCATCCGGAAACAAACTGAAGGGAGGTTTTGCCACAGATCCAAACTGAAGTGCGAAATCAGTCTTAAGTGGGCTGCAAGCCAAATAAAATACCTGCTCATACACCTAACTGTGACCATAGCAGTTCAATTGAATTTAAATGTAATAATAATAATAAATTTTATTTATACCCCTCCCTCCCCGGCTAGAGCCGGGCTCAGGGCAGCTAACACCAGTAAAATTACAATAAAAACATAATAGGAAAAAGAAAAAAAACCAATGTAAAATACAAGTTAAAATATAATTTAAAATGCAGCTTCATTTTAGAAGTAGCCCATAGATCAAAACCATAAAGCGAGGGAAACATAAGGGTCAGACTGAGTCCAAACCAAAGGCCAGGCGGAACAGCTCTGTCTCGCAGGCCCTGCGGAAAGATGTCAAATCCTGCAGGGCCCTGGTCTCTTTTGACAGAGTGTTCCACCAAGTTGGGGCCAGTACTGAAAAGGCCCTGGCCCTAGTTGAGATCAATCTAACCACCTTGCGACTTGGGACCTCCAAAGTGTTGTCATTTGTGGACCTTAAGGTCCTCTGCGGGGCATGCCAGGAGAGGCGGTCCCGTAGAAGACACTTTTCTCAATAAATCACCCTCTTGTTTTGTAAGCATCTATATCTGACATTCAGGACTTTTTCCAGGCTGCCCCCTCCTCCCTAGGCCAATTTCCCTGCTCTGTGGCCTCAAGTGTTTTATGGCTGGCTAGAATGAGTCCTTCAACTGTGATGCTTTGGGCTTTCCTGACTGTAGGAAGAGGCAGGGGTCTAGAAAAACTAGCCTACTGTACATTCAAACATTCAAATTGTTGCTCTGCCTCTTTTTGTCCCTGGAATATAGCCCAGAAGGGAATGCAACTCTTGGGCTGAAAAAGGTTCTCCAACCCAGTGCCACATTCCTTGTCCCCTTCTTCCACCACCTGCTACACCAGAGCTTTTCAAATTGCATGTCGCACCACATTAGTGTGTTAGCTGCAGTGTGTGGGTGTGTCATGTGAACGCTCCCTGCACTCCTCCTGGGGCTGGAAAGGGGTTAGTTTAACCTCTGGTTAGCTGGTAAAACTGAATTACTGTGCAGCGAAATGATGCATGTCTAAAAAGTGTGTCACCAACATGAAAAGTTTGGAAAGCTCTGTGCACACACACACATTTTGGTCTTTTAAAACATAAAACATAAACATAAAAAGAATGCTTACATATATTGATTGTTCCACAAATAGCAGCTGTGGCACATTCAAGAAGGTGGAACCATTTTAGTGGCACCTAAAATGGGACCACGAAACAGAGTATGTGTTTTCCCACCACCACCACCAACTTTTTACCTTTTACTCTCTGTAACAGCCTGGTCCAAATGTTTGAAGATATCCTGCATAAGAATGCAGCTGGAGCGGCTGTTGATAGGATACCCATAAGCTCTCTTCCAGTACTGCTTCAGATCATTCAGATATTCAAGAACCTAGTATCACACACATTTAAAAGTTGTTACAGAGAAGGATTATTTTACATGCAACAAGATATTTTAGTAAATTGCAGGCAGGCCATTCCAACGCACACAAACTTTCATATAACTATTGGTACCTAACCCAACAATATAGATAGATAACACGTTTTCCACCACAGGCAATGGGTTCTTACCTCTTCCCGCCCCACCACCATTGCAATCAGGAACAAATGCTTTGGCAGAGACCTGCCTTTATAACACTGCAGGTACAGCCTCCCAGGGGCAAGCCAGGAACAGCAAACGGGAATGAGCACTGAAGTCTACAATTTAATAGGAATATGAGTAAAAAGGTAGGCAAAGGATTGTTTTCCTGCACAGGAGTGAAGTCAATAGGTGCAGCTAATGCTAAAGTCATTGGTTATGAGCTTTGTTAAAAGCAGATGCTACTTTTAGGAATTTAGTGTTCCTTAGAAAGAGACTGAATATAGCCAATATATATGCATCTGTTATCCTAGGTGTCTACATGCAGATGCTCAGGGTGACAGGCTGGAAGGTTGGGCAGAGTAGGAGAGGGTATCTAATGAGAGCAGGAATATTAAATGACACTCTCCCAAACCAAACCACGGTAGTACCATTTGTGCTAGCACTTGTCCTGCCGCAGTAGGTTGTTTTGGTCAAATTAAATCATGTTAAGTGAGTGCCAGATTTCAGCTCATGGTTAGAATTCAGGTTTTCCTCATGGTAGACCACTGAAATTAATGGACTTAGCTGAGTAATGCTGATTAATTTCAGTGGCTCTAGGTAAAGGTAAATGGACCCCTGACCATTAGGTCCAGTCGCAGATGACTCTGGAGTTGTGGCGCTCATCTTGCTTTATTGGCTGAGGGAGCCGGCGTACAGCTTCCGGGTCATGTGGCCAGCATGACTAAGCTGCTTCTGGCGAACCAGAGCAGCGCACGGAAACGCTGTTTACCTTCCCTCCAGAGCGGTACCTATTTATCTACTTGCACTTTGGCGTGCTTTTGAACTGCTAGGTTGGCAGGAGCAGGGACAGACCAATGGGAGCTCACCCAATCGAGGGGATTCGAACCACCGACCTTCTGATCGGTAAGCCCTAGGCTCTGTGGTTTAGCCCACAGCGCCACCCACATCCCTTTCAGCGGCTCTACTCTTGCATAAAATCTTGGTTGAATACTACCCACTATGTCCTATATAATTCTGTGAGACCGAATAATAGTTTTTTTCACAATACACTGCAACATTCAATTCTCCACTTCTTTAGTTAAGGGGGTTGCAGACGTGTACACAGTACCTACCTTGGCATCTTCTTCACTGAAGAGCGAACACCAGGGGGAGCTAATGTTTTTTATGGCCAGCTCAAATGAGCAAGTGAAAAATGCCACCTGAACCAAATCTGTTGTAAAGAAAAGCAACAGTTAGCAACACACCGACAGTACGTCAGGCAGGATGCCGCAAGCCATCAATGAAATGTTTACGCAGAAAGGGCAACACACAAGGACCACGTCAGTGGTGAACGAAACACCCCTTAACAAAACCGCTATGAAGGTACGCAATAAAAAGAGATACAATCTGGGAACCAGGTCCTGTGTATAGAACAAGGCTAGAGAACCCTTTGTATGCTGAGAGTCGTATTTCCTCAGGGATAACATCTTGGGAAATGGAGAACAAGCGTGGGCAAGGTCATGATTTTCTCTCGCTTCTGAACTCCTATCCTCCATACATCAATTAGGCTTTGGGGGAAAAAGCTTCCACTGGCAACAACAGAAGCCTTTTTCTAGTCTAATTACTGTGTCAAGGAGGGACAAAGAGGGATGAGACAGAATGGATCCAAAGGCACCAGGAGCTAGATCTAGCCTGCAGGCAAGAAATTCCCCTATCCCTGGCACAAACAGAGGGGTGACGTGCAAGAACTATGCTTGCAATTCCACAAATGGGTCCGTAGTCTTCTGCATCCCTGGAATCAATACATATAATACACTACAAACTATAAGCAAAAAGAAATGAGCTAGTGAATGTGGGATTTTTATGTATTTCAAGCATGTTTTTAACATATGATATAAACACTGAATACATGGTGGGTATTAAATATTTGCAATGGAATTATTTGATTAGATTCGTATGAACAAGAACACATCAGTACCTGGAGTGTTTTATGCATGCATGTGCTTCTGAAAATATTCACAAACTTGTTCAAAAACTCAACTTAATTAAAATTGCAAACTGTATAAATATAAGCCTCGTTTTTAAGGCTGTTAGATGAAACTTAACATGGTAACCTTTCTACCATTGAAAGAATCATAATCATATATTCTGTAAAAAACCCAACATGCATCCTCTAAGTGAATACGTATACTCAGACAACATCTTACTATCTGCTCTTGTTTCAATCACTTTTAGCAGGGCTATGATTAAAGTAACTAGAAATCATTGTTGCATGTACACTACAGGAAACTCAATATTCTTTAGTTAGTTCAGATGGTCAAGTGAAAAAGGACACCAGAACCCAATCTGTAGAAAAGGCAAGTGACAAATGAAACTGTCAAAACTGCATCTATGCACATTTAGTAACAGGATAATGCTTAGTTACACTCCGTAACAGGAGAGAGATGTTTCAGAAGTTTGAGTTACGGAAGTGTCAATACTATATCATATGACATTGACCTTCTTTACTACATTTATATTTGCATATCTTAGAGCTCCTCCTCCATCAATTATGGCTCAAAATCCCTTGCCTAATGAATTCAAGAGTGAGACAGAAAGGACTTTTTATGCTGCTAGAAAACTTGAATCAATGCACCTGCCTTTATCTATCACAAAGAAAAACAGGATAGAGTTGTTTGCAGTGGCTCTGGGGAGTAGTGAACTGTAATAATGATACTACCTATGTTCATCCGATAAAAGTATGTATTTCTTTTTGTGTTTGATTGGTGCTTAGTGATGTTCTGTTGTATTTTAAATGGAATGTTAACCACCTGAAACGGTTGATAGGAAGGATAAAATACTGTAGAATGAAATAATACTTCCTGATTCGGTAAAAGGAGATCCATAATGCAAATAATTAATGCAAATGCACATCCAGATGCCCATTTCACTGTTCATCTGTGTCCCACTAAACTGGGTGCATGTGGGTTTTTAGTACAGACTGGAATACCTAACACCATCTGGATTCACAAAGTTATGTGGAATATCTATCACCAGTGCTTTTCTTCTAAAAATATGTTTAGGGGTACTCTCAATTTCCTTCTCATATTGAAATACTGCCCCTCAATGAGGCCAAACTTAGATTCACAAAATGTTTAGGGGTATGCTTACCCCTGCATCCCCCACAGAAAAAAAGCACTATCACCATCTGGATCCATAAAGTTTGTACAACAACAGCAAGATGAGGACCTCTCTTTTCTCATGAAAATACTTTCTTCCTGGTAAAATCTAATAAAGTTAGCCTGTGGCCCAGGAAGGGGGGGAAGGTTGCCACAAAGAACTTGTACACGATAGTTGGTTTCTCATGCTTCTTACGTGTTTGACCACAAGCCAAAGCATTCCTTTAAGGTAAAGGTAAAGGTACCCCTGCCTGTACGGGCCAGTCGTGTCCGACTCTAGGGTTGTGCACCCATCTCACTTAAGAGGCCGGGGGCCAGCGCTGTCCAGAGACACTTCCGGGTCACGTGGCCAGCGTGACGAAGCTGCTCTGGCGAGCCAGCACCAGCGCAGCACACGGAAACGCCGTTTACCTTCCAGCTATAAAGCGGTACCTATTTATCTACTTGCACTTAGGAGTGCTTTCGAACTGCTAGGTGGACAGGAGCTGGGACCGAAGACGGGAGCTCACCCCGCTGCGGGGATTCGAACCGCCGACCATGCGATCGGCAAGCCCTAGGCACTGAGGTTTTACCCACAGCGCCACCCACGTCCCTGAAGCATTCCTTTAGGCAGCCCCAAACATCTGCATGTACCCAGGAGAAACAGACTTACAAAGAAAACCAACCACAAGCATCCTTCCTCTATGCTTCACCACCAGCTGTTCTTTAAACAACTTTGGCAGCAGTCAGTTGTGGGTAGATATCAGCTGGGCACAGAGAACTAGTTGTACATTTCTTCTAGGCATAAGTTTGGAAAAGTTGCAGCTCTTGTGGTAGATAGTTTTAGTTGTTTGCTCTTCCTACAGAGGTTCTTGAAAAGGTGCCGACACCAGTAGCTTGTGCCACACACCAAAATAAAGCTTATTAAAAGACAATGTTGATAATGGCTCGTGACATGGATATTGTTAGTTACTAGCTACAGAGCTTGCTGGTAGTGGATGTTTCGTAGTTAAAAAAGAAAAAGCACTGTAGCAGTGAAATAGGCATGTGTGCACCATTACCTGAAAACCGCATGCAAGAGTTGATAGGCCATTTCCTTTCTGCATTCCGCACTTCATCGTACAAATTTCCCCAAGCATCTTCAATACTTCTAAGAGTGTGTCTCAATGGAGCACGACTGTCTGCTCTCTCCAGGCTACCACAGAAACATGAACTAGGCTTCAGTTTTCGCTCTGCGTGGCACAAGTGTGCATCTCTGCACTTGTGAGAGTCATACAATGCATGCAGCTGAGATACTTTAACTTATGTGAACCAGTCCCTAAGAGCGATGAAAATGAAAACAAGGGACTGGGGAGGGGGGGAGGGGAAGGGTAAATATTTTATGTCCTCCAGTCAGGTTCAACAGAAGTTAACCTTTAAAGCTTTTCCAATAGATGTTTGTGTTTACTGCTTATTTGCTCTTCATAATAACTGAGAACAGGTAGGAAGCTGATAAAAGAACATTACCTGCGTTTAAGTCATTCACTGGTAGACACAAGGTGTTTGCAATTTCCCCCACTACTTCCTTCATCTCCGGACCTTCCTTGAAGGCATCCAGCTCATGCATAGCTGTATCATTGTCTTCTATATCTTTAACAAATCTTTCACATAGATCAAAAAACCTCATCAGTTTGTCGTTGGTTTCAATTCCTTCTGTCGTCGTGGCTGAAAATGAAAGGGCAAAAGGTTATTAAATGTCATAAGTTGCTTTAAAATGGAATATAAATTCACAAAAGCAAGCACGTTGCAAAATACACACTCTTAAAACTGAATAATCTTCTGTCAAACACTGAGTTAAAGCTAGTTGTTTCAAGCAACTTTTATATAAAGCATTTTGCACAGAATTTCTCAAAAGGGTTCTGAAACCAAGGGTTCTGTGAAATCCTCTATCAACATAAAACCTTGCTAAAAGTAAACTGGACAAATGGTTTGCGCAAAGAATATTGTGGGCTTGATTCTAGAAACAATGGACTATAAAGTCACGTCACCACAGGCAATGGCCTGCCTGACACTATTCAGGGTCTCACTAAAATCAACCATCTGAATGATCCCAATGATTCCAAATACTGAGCTCTGCACTTTCCCTAGTTCATAAAATTATGATTATCTTCCCAGTAACTACCACCCCTCACTTCCGGGCACTTGGAACTTAAGGAAGTGATTTTGCTCAGTGCCCTTTAGAACATCCATTATTCCTTATCTCCCAACTTTGTGCTACAGCTCATTAGCATTCTGAGTGCCCCTACCTGAAAGCCCAGTACAAAAATCTGAGACTGATCTTCCTCTCCCCCAGTTCCTACATATAAACAGAATACACTACCCCAGAATGTTTCATGTGTTTCAACATGCCTATCTTCTGTGTAACAATTAATATGAAAATCTCATGTAAATTTAACCTACTCTGACATCAATCACACTGGTTTTTCAATCTGTTGGTTGCAGTTCTCAGTATGCACTGTTTTTATCATGAGCGAGGAACAAATGGCCCAAACACTGAATACGACCCAAGGAGCCTTTGGTTCAAGATTAATTTTAATCTTTGGTTCAAGATTAATTTTAACTGCTGGCATACTCAGTACTATCCACTTACCAACAGTGTGTCTTATGTTATTTGTTTATTTAACACGATTAGTGTATCGCTTAATCATTGAAGTGATTTACATAAAATATTTTCACTTTATTGATTCATTTTAAATTTCCTTAATATTACTAAAATTTGTATGTTTAAATATACTGCAATATATTTCATACCTGAAATGTCTTAAATGCCAACGTTTCCAATCTATACTGAGTATCGTGTTAGTTCCTATGCAAGCATATCTGCCATGTATTATCAGTAGTAAGTGCTATCTCTGTACAGGACGTGTCATTTCATACAATAACAAAAGCAAATGCATGCACAAATGTTTTTGAAAATCCAACCTAACCAGGGTGCAGGGGGGAGAGTGAAGCTAACTTTCGAGGATCAAGGTTAGAGAATGATAGTTATACACCTCAGCTTAATTTCTGTTGTGGAATAAGATTTAATCTAAAGGTTCTGTGGGATAGTGGCCCGTGTAATGTGCAGGAATTCTGTGATTTGTTAAATAATCCTCAAAAAGTAAAATGGGAAAGTATGGCTTTTGGAAAAACAGCTTGAGTAAGCAAAAGATCACTAAAAAATCTGGCTTTACTTCTACCAGACGCTGAACTAGTCCAAAATCCATCCAATTCAGCCTATTGTTCCATACAACAGTTGCTTCTGGGAAGCTCATAAAACAGGACACAGACATGCTGACCCTCTTTATCCACAGCTTCTGATATTCTAAGCTACTGCAAGTTCTGAACTTGCAGTTTCCATTAACTTACTTAGCATGGCAAATAGATATTGATAAATGTAGAAGGGCGAGGGGGGAGGGGATGTCAATTTAAGGATGAATAAAAACATTTAAGGAAAGCTAGGAAATAATTTATAATTTGCTAGTTCTGTTCCAGAAGAATAAACAGAACCTATAAGGCATTTTATGAAAAAATAAAATAGAAATGCTTGCTATTATGAACACAAGGGAAAAGAACAGATGTTCCTGCTCATAATTGTTGCTGGTTACTATCAGTCTCAGGAGCCAATGTAGGAGTGTCCTTCAAGGATAAAGTCGAACTGTTGGGAGAGATACAGCGTCTGCTGTGGCTGTAGAGACCAATAAGGGAGAGACATGTTTTATTGCAGCTGGGGCAGATGAAGGAGTCTGGCTGCACTGGTGCAGGTGTCCTATGGCGTTTCTTCTGTCTGCGTTCCTCCGAGTGATCATTCCTCCTCTGGTCACTGCTGTAAATGCACAACCTGTCTGTCGTTCTCCAGGCACTCCAATCATCTGCAAGGGATTCCCATACAACGGGACTGATGTTGCCAGCCTTTGTTTCATGTTGGCAGCCATCTTTGTAACGCAGACTTGTTCTGCCAACAGGTCTAGTGACAGCTCCCTTTTGGGGATCCTGTCATCTTCCATTCTGTGTACATGACCAAGTCAGCAGAGATGTCACTGAGACAGAACTACGAACATGCTGGGAATGTGGGCTTGGGAGAACACACCTTTATTTGAGACTCTGTCCAAAATCTACCTGATGCAATGGATATGGAAGGCATTGAGGCATCACTCCTGGTGGGTATAAGTTACCCATGAACTTACTTCCATAAAGCAGCCTGCTCAACACACAAGCCCAATAGACCTTCATCTTGGCATTGGTTGTTAGCATCACATTCTCCCATACCCTTTTGCAGAGGGAAACCATTGCCGTAGCTGCCTTGCCAATGTGCATGTCCAGCTCAGCATCGATGGAAAGGTTGCTGATTATGGTGGAGCCCACGTAGATAAAATTGTCTACCACCTTAATGCTGATGCTGGACTGCTGGTAACATCTTGACCGAAGATGTTGATCTTCATCAGGGTGGTGGTGAGGCCGAACTCCATGCGAGCTTGGACACAACTGTTGACAAGTCTTTTCAGAGCTTGCTTAAGAGTGTGCTGTCAAGGCTGCATCATCTGCAAACTACATTTCGCAGACAAGAACCCACCACACTTTTGTCTTGGTGTGGAGACATGTCAGGCTGAACAGACCTCCACCTTGAATGGTGATCATTAGGCCAGACACTCCTGAGCAGACCTTGTTTCTTCCAATAAACAATTAACGTCACTAGACTTACTGTGTGTGATTTATTCCTGGCATCTGCTTCTGACACTGTGGTGACACATGTCTTGTGGCATGGATCCTTGAAGGGAAGCTTTGCTTCTACACATTTGCTTCTGCACATGAGTACAAACATCTAAGCTGAAGCATTCCTTTCTCACCCATCCCAGAATGTTCTGTTCACATTGAGTTCATGAAACATCATATCCTGACCTGTTCTTAATGCATGGTGGACCACATCTATGGAATACAATAGTTATGCCCTGTTAGGTTTTGCTATATCAATCATTAGTTAAGGAGGTTTTCATGCCTGTCCAATTCCGTGTTCCCTGTGTTCCCTTTCCCAACCTTTCTTCTATTGGTGATTAATGCCTATATGTAATCTTTGCTTTGTACTTGTGTTAACCAATCAGCAACCAGCACATACGTGGCAATGCATGTAATATTCAATAAAAGAGACTCCTCGAGACTTGCTCGAGAGGTGCCTCCCAGATGACACTTGCCATTCGTCTGTCGTTTATTCCAACCCAACAGATCCTTGTTTTCAACACTGCAAGAGAAGGCTGTGGAGGTGTGTTATGAGGGAGAAACTGAGGCCGGCTTTCAGCACTTCTGCTGGGATTCTGACCTGTCCTGGGGCTTTACCACATGCCTGAGAGTTGATGGCATTCCTCAGCTTGCCATGGGCAGGAGAGGAACCTAGCTCTGCTGTCAAGTGTCTGGGTGTTGAAAACTGTTGTGTCAGATAATTGTTGTTTTCCTGTGAGTATAACTCTTAATAGTGCCCTGCTTCACCTGCTTGCTGCTGTAATAATCTCTCCAGAAAAGGTTTTCAGTGGTGCAGTTTTCCTTACTATTGGTCCAAAGGCTGCCTTCATGCCTTCAAACATTTTGCAAGTGTTAAACCACAACAAAAAAGGCTGGTATTTAAGTTAGCTGTGCAGTGAGCAGGAATGATATTAGATAAGCACATTAACTATGATTTCAAAGTTCTGGCCAGGTCTTCTTTTTTTAGGAGAGGGACCAGTACCACACACGGAGGGGGCCAAAAGCAACCTTTATCAAGAGAAAAGGGCTGGGATTGGGGCATCTTAAATGATTATCCAACCCCCTAAGTTCAATCAGGGTTTAGAACCAGTTTTGGCACAGAAAGAGGAGAGAGACAGGGGAGATGTGCCCCTGTTAATTCTCCTCAACCTCTCATCAGCTTTCAATACCATCAACCATGAAATCCTTCTGGAGCAGCTGTCCAAGTTAGGGGTGGGTGATGCTGCTTTGCAATGGTTCCAGTCCTACTTGGACCATCATTTCCAGTGCATGATGCTTAGGGAGTGCTGTACAGCCCCATGGAAACTTCAATGTGGAGTTCCTCAGGGTTCGATTTCATTCACCGTGCTGTTTACCTGAAACTGATGAGAGTGGCGTTATCTGGCATTTTGGAGTATGTTGTCAGCAATATGCTCATGGCACACAACTCTGCTTCTCATTTACACATGCAGGGTGTGGTAGTGGATGTGCTGGATTGATGTCTTTCCACGGTAATGGACTCGGTGAGAGACAATAAACTGAAGCTCAATCCAGATAAGAACGAGACACTGTTAGTGGGTCGTTCCCTAGAACCGATGGATGGGAGGTTGCCTGCTCTTAATGGGGTTACACATTCCCTCTGAAGGAGCAGGTATGCAACTTGCGGGTATTTCTGGATCCTTTGCTATTGCTTGAGGCTCAGGTGGCCTTGGTGGCACAAAGTGTCTTCCATCCGCTTCAGCTGGTGGCCCAGGGACAGGGATAACCTAACTTCTGTTGTCTATGCTCTGGCAACCTCTAGGTTAGATTACTACAACATATTATCTGTGGGGCTCACATTTGGCAGCCAGGTTGCTCATCAGGGCAAGACCATTTGAACATATAACACCAATCCTAGCCCAAATGCACTGGCTGCCAATTAATTTCCGGCCCAATTCAAATTGCAGGTTTTGACCTATAAAGCCTTAAACGGTTCAAAACTGCAATACCTCCAGGGCTGCCTCTCCCCATTTGAACTGACCCAGACCCTGCGATCAACACTGCAGGACTTTTCCATGAGAGTCCCAGAAGGGGGCAACACAAGAAGGTGCCTTTTATGCAGTGCCTCCCAAATTATAGAATGCTTTCTCCAGAAAGTATTGCCTGGCTCCATGATTATATATATTCAGACGCCAGCCTGGAATTGCCAGGCAAAACCTTTCCTCTATAACTAGGCCTTTAACTATCTGTGTGGCCTTTTAGAAGTGGATGGGGTGTGTTTTAATTTAATTCTTTTCCTCTTGGTTTTAATGTATCTGCTTGGGGAGGGGGGTGTCTCATATTGCAAACCTAGGCTTCTCTACTGACAACCCTGTCCTACTGAATTCAATGATGACACTTAATCCCAGGCGCCAAACTGCTTTCACGTGGTGCATTTCATTTTGATGCTTTTTCTTTGCCTAAAATGCCTAATACATGCAAATAATAATAATAATAATAAAGTAAGTGGGGTACATTATTGCTGCCTTGGGGTCTTTAAATGGTCCTGACCTCTGCACCCACACCCATAGTGCCATCACCTATCATGGGTATAGCTGGGGGTAGGAAGCAGGGGGCAGTCACCCCTCCAAATACTTAACTGAAAGTAGCAATTGTAGAATCACTCTTGGGGTAAAAAGAAAGTGATAAAAAAACCTGTTGTTGAGACACTTCATTCGGAAACTGCTGGACAAAGCCAAACAGAGGACGACGACAGGTGGGTGTCCCCGCCCTCACTAACATAAATCCTAGCTACGCCCATGCAGGTTATAATGAAGCAGAGAATGGACGGCTTGCTGGGAGTGGGAAGGATGCGGGGTTACTCTCACCGTGCTTTTGGGACGTGCCCTGCTGCTGGCCGTCGAGCGCCTGCCGGAGCCCTTCGCGGAAGGCGGCGGCGCTGTCCAGGCACCGGTGCTTAGAGCTGCTGACGAAGGCGAAGCGTCGGTTCCGGGCCAGGAGGCTGGGGAAGCGGCGGGCGAGGCGCCTGGCCAGCATCTCCATGTCGCGGCGCCCCCGAGGGGCCAGCTTGCCGTCCATGTCCGGCCGGAGCCACATGGTCCAGCGCGCCAGGCGGGAGGCGGCGCTGGCGTTGCATTTCCCGGCGTTTCCCTGGACGAGTCCGTGGAGGCGGCCCAGCTTCTGGATCTGCTTGCGCGTCGGGAAGCGGGTGCCGTGGCGGAAGACGGCGCCGAGCTGCAGCGGGGCGCAGGAAGCCGGCGGCAGCGGGAAGCCCGGCTGCGGCGGCCCGAGAGACAGCGGGTCCCGCAGGAGCTCCGGGTGCAGCTCCTCGTAACGGGACTTGGTGCCGAAGTAGGGGCTCAGCCTCTCGGCCGCCGCCTCCCCCTCGGCGGGCCCCGGCGCCAGGAGGAGGAGCAGCGGCAGCAGCAGCAGCAGCAAGAGGCAGCCGTCGGGGCGCAGCATGAGAGCGGCAGGGAAGCGGCTGTTCTCCTCCTAAGCGCGGTGCCCGGACCGCATCCCCGGTGTAAAGCGCGAAGCCCACGCAGGAAGTCGAGCCACAGCGGCCTCCCCCTCCGCGCTTTGGCTTTTCCTTTCCGCTGATTGGTCGGCGACTCCCCTCCCACTTTCTGCTTGCCCTCACCCAAAATGGCCACCTCACCGCATGACTTCTAAACGCTTTAAGCCACTGGCGCCCTCAAGCAAGATGGCGGTTGTTGCTCCCACGTTCTCCCCGCCTTCCTATATATACAACAGTGCCCAGCCCTAAGTGGCGTTCAGCCTCCACAGGGAGCTGCTGAGAGAGGCTGAGGAGTCTGACAGGGTCTTCCCAAAGCGACAGGGCAGCTGAACAGAAACAAGCACCCTTCTATCACTATCATGTATCTTCCCTTTCCCTTGTTCCCTCAAGTCCATTCAGCGCATTGGGAAGGCGGAATAAATGTGCAAAATAAGCACACGACCATATATCTTTGTTGTTGTTTAGTCGTGTCCAACTCTTCGTGACCCCATGGACCAGAGCACGCCAGGCACTCCTGTCTCCCACTGCCTCCCGCAGTTTGGTCAAACTCATGTTAGTGTCTTCGAGAACACTATCCAACCATCTCGTCCTCTGTCGTCCCCTTCTCCTTGTGCCCTCAATCTTTCTCAACATCAGGGTCTTTTCCAGGGAGTCTTCTCTTCTAATGAGGTAGCCAAAGTATTGGAACCTCAGCTTCACGATCTGTCTTTTCAGTGAGCACATCCATTACCTTAAGAATGGATAGGTTTGATCTTGCAGTCCATGGGACTCTCAAGAGTCTCCTCCAGCACCGTAATTCAAAAGCATCAATTCTTCGGCGATCAGCCTTCTTTATGAGGGTCTTTTCAGAAATACTCAAACAACAAAACAATGCTGCTGCGGATCCCAGTTATTATAAGGCTGCTTTGACTGCAGGTTGAATGGACTTTGGGTGATGCCAACGCTGTTATTTTAGATATGTTTAGACTCCCCACCCCCGTGGCTCAAAGTAGCCTTGTGCTCATATGAAGCTGGGGTCAAGGCTGAGTGAGTGGTTAACAACAACCTTGCAATGCAGTCCAGTCCTAGTCCTGTGAAGGGAGCTGAGATTCTCACCCCTCCAGAGAGGGGAGAGCTGCTCTTTATGAATATTCTAGATCCTGCTATACCTCAGCCACACTCCTGCAAAAAAACAAAACAACAAAAAAACCACCTTGGGGAGGGAAGAGGGGAAACTATATTGAGCATATGCTAAATTTCTGCATCCAAGCTACAAGATTACAAAACAACAACAATGTGCAGTGATTCATACCCATTGATGAGAGACTTCTCCCACAGAGAGCAGGGGAAATACTGAGGCTATCTAATAAGCAGAGTGCCAGCTCATAGAAACTAACCAGATTGCTGTTATTAGCAGGCCACAAACAGATTATTAAGCATTGCAAACATCCCTCCCTGGGATCTTGCAATCAATGGATAATTTACATACAAGGCGGATAATAAGCATGGAAAAACTAACGTCAGTGTTTAAAAATAGAACCAGAAAAGCCAGATGAAGTCTGTCTAGCACCCTGAGTGGGATGCTTCAAATAAAGAGTTGTAATGTGATACCACAGATAGAACATGCATTTATGTCTCAGTGCAATTGTCTCTCTTTAAGTTGTCAAATAGCGTGCCCAGCAAACTAGGTATCATGTCAAGGTACTTGTGCAACGTGAGTCTGTCTTTCCGCTCAGGTCTTTGGCAGAGGCCATCGTCCGCCTCCTACCACAAACTGAGGTTGGTGAGGACATAGCAAGGCCTTTTCCATTGTGGCACCCAGGCTTTTGTGCCCAGGGAGGCCCGGCTGACCCCATCATTGGTGGTGTTTTCATGCCGTTAGACAAACACTTTTATTTTACCATGTTTTCACCCAGAGCAGAGATGGGGAACCTGTGGCTTTTCAGACACTGTTGGACTACAGCTCCCATCAACCCTGACCATTGCTTAGAGATCTCTGAGTGACAGATCTCTGAGTGAGTTGCTGTTATTTAACATTAGCAGCAAGAAACTTACACCCCACTGCCCCATAATTGACACTGCTGAAATGAAGAAAGCTCAGGTGGGGATTGGTTAATCAAGGGAGGCGTTTGTGTGGGAAGAGTGTAAGCTCCATTCAGTTTTTTAGAAAACAAACCAACCATGGCCCTTCAAATTCCTTAATTCTTGGCCTCAGAATTCTTTAATTTGAAGTGTTACACCAGGCTCCAGCTGGTGGAGCGGGATTTTAGTTTTAAAAAAACCACACTCCAAAACAACAAAGTAGATCCCAGAGACCTAATGTCTGAATGACTTTGCTCTATGAAAACACAGTGAGAGGACCCAATACAGTCCTGAGATGCTCTGCCACACACTCCTACAGTGGAGCTTCTGTTTTTGTGTGAGGAAAGAAGGTGGTGGCTATTTTCTTCTCCGTGATCTTTTATGGTTCCCTCATTCCTCTCCACCATCTCCCCAGTATTTCTATTCTCTCTCAGATCATCAACTTTCTCCCTCTTCCCTTCACTTCAGCAGTTCCTATAATAAATGCTCTTTTTCTGGGGGGATGCAGGGGCACACGTACCCCTAAACATTTTGTGAATGTAAGTTTGGCCTCATTGAGAGGCAATATTTAAATATGGGTAGGAAAATGAGAGTACCCCTAAACATTTTTTAAAGGAAAAAAGCACTGCCTATAATGGTGAAAAAAGTGCTGTGTTCCAGGCATCCTAGAGGAAGTTACTTCACCCACGGCTACAGAAATATTGCAATTTGATAAAATAACAGAGAAAATATGTGCTGAGCAATTAAAAACCAAAACCAATAAAAAGCATGATCCCATATGTCTTTCTTTGACACACAAGGTTCTTAAAAAAAAAAATCACTCAGATCTCCCTTCATCAAAAGTACTAAGACTGCAATCCATATGCTCTCTTATTTGGAAGCAAGTGAAATGGAAATAAAAGCAGCAAGAAAACATCAAAGAAACATAACATTTCCCCTTTCCTATGCAAGAAGAGCTATTAGTTTTGTGTTTCCTCTTTTTTCGAGCTTCCCTAAAGGTGGGCCCTGTCCTTTTGGACTTTATGATGGTGTATTGCATTTGTTTTTCTATGATGTTGTTTTTAGTGGCTTATATGGCTGGTTTTATTGTACATTTGGGATTTATTGGAGACTGTGTAGAGATTTTTAATATGAAGAGGTTTAGAAATGGTCTTAAACAAACACTCAGTACAAATACAAGAAGAGTTTCTTGTGCTGAGGACCTGGTGAGTGACGGTGATAGAAGAAGAGAATGACTCTAATCCTACACTTTTCACTAAATATGTAAAGTGGCTCACACCATTTGGAAGGGGTTTCAGATACTGAACTTGAGGGTGAAGAACTGTCTCAAAGAGACAACTCCCAGTACCAAACACACTTTTCCTTAAAAACTACAGAGCAGCTCCCTTTTAATAGTTTTGTTCAAACACATGCGAGTCAGTGACTGAGAAAGGCACACCTTTAATTAGTGCAGACAGGGAAGCAAACAGAAGATGTTAGGAAGAAATAGGAGGTATTCACAAATACATCACCACTGTGTACTGTGAAAGAAGTTGCAACATCAGCAAAGCAAAGGTAGCATTTCTGGCAGAAGGAAAGTTTGATCATCTGTTTTGAGTCCACGTGGCTCTGAGTCATGTCTCTTTCGTATTCAGTCTGTGGTGTTGGGTAATCTTTGCATTTATAAAATGAAATAATGAACAGATCATCACATTTCTTTCCCTGTAACTCTGAATGAAGGGCAAGCGCTGAACAAATGCATGCAGATTTGAGCACAAATGTTTTGGAAGCATCTGGGCTTGGTGTGTTACAATTCCAAGGAATAATGAAAGACCCTTTAGATGGCCTAATTCAAATCAGAATGAAGAGAAAGGCAAATGTATCAAAGACTGGTGCAAAGACTGATTTATTATTATAAATGTGTTTATTTGTTACATTTGTATGCTGACTTTTTACCCACTGTGACAGTTAATATAATATAGATGCAAGGAAGTGTAATAAAATACAAATAAAAAAAAAGGCACATAAACATAAACAAACACAACTAGTAGAAGCCAATTTGTACAGATTGGCATCAGGAGCCTGAAAAAGTTGGCTTTTGCTTACCAGTGGAAAGTCGTAAAAGACAGTATTACCTTGGTCTTCTTTGGCAGGTAGTCTGGGAGCAGCCACCAAGGAAACCCATGGTGTTTGATTTATGTAAAATAAATGAAAAAGCAAATAAAATAAATGAGGTACCAAAAGCAAACATAACACAACACACTCTATGTGGGTCTACTCATGAAGGCAATCCAGAAACCAGTGCCAAATGCAGCTAGAGTGTTGAGCAAACTAGAAGCAAACAGAAGCAATTAAAAGCATATTTGAAACTCTAGCTACCATTTAATCCAGGCATGTCCAAAGTCCACTTTGGGGGTCTAATCCGGCCCCCGTGGCAGTATATGTCCTTGGGTAAAATCCTTAAAAAAGCTCAAAAATTGGGGGAAAATTGTAAAAAAAGCTCAACAACAGCCCTCACACATGTTCACTTCATCAAAACTGGCCCTCTTTGAAAAAGGTTTGGGCACCCCTGATAATCTATTAGTTACCCTGGGACTTCAAAACTGAAGGGAAGCCCACATGGTCCCCATCCATCTGCCAGAGGACTCAGAGGCAATAGGACACCGTACTATTTCTTTTACAGAAAAAATACGAACGATCCATGGTATGAGGAAGACCAGACTAGGCCCAGCCCTTGGCTAGAAAAATCACATCTTCTTCCACACCCACTGCCAGTAAGAACTGTGTTATAACTACCAGGTGCTCTGGGACTGCGAAATCGAGGGACAGTCTGGCTCTATTTCATTGGCCAAATAACTTGAAGCCAATGATAATTTTTGTTACTGACTCTAATCATGGGAAGTGGGTGGCATAATTAAGTGTATTACGGAAACATATTCCTTAAGCTTTAGAAGAAAGTCAGCTTTATGGCTCCTGAGTATACTAAATCTTTTACACACACACAGCCAACCATATGCCCAGTCCTTCAACATAATTGTTGCATAGCTT